CACGCAGCGTGGGGGAGCCGAGCCCCTGGGCAGCGCCGGAATGCTCCGCTGCGGGGGGCGGGGACCCGAATCCAGCTGCGCTGCGGGTTCCCGGGAGGGGGGGAGGCCCCGGTCCCCCGCTCAGCCCTCTCCTCTGCCCCCGCCCACGGAAAATGCTTTTGAAAACTGAGTTTCTTTTGCCAAAGGTGGTGCTGGGTCCCGGGACGTGAGATGGGCCAAAGCTTTCGGGTCCCTACGAGCCAGCGGCACCGAGCCCCATCCAGCCCCCAGCACCCTCCGGAAGGCAGCGAGATGTGGCCCCACCCGAACGCCGGGCACGACAGGCAGGAGTCCGGCCGGTGCCGACAGCTGGGTGATGCTTCCTCCTGGGCAGCCGCTCCCAGTCCTGCCCGCAATATTTAGCAAACACCAGCGCCTTTGTTCCCCACCCTCCCGACGGCACCACTGGCCACAAGCACCCCAAGCGCGGGGGCACTGCCTGCCCTGCTCCCCTTGCTGCTGCGGCGGCACGAAGGTGAGCAAGGGGCGCAGTAGCACCAGGAGGGTGTCGCAGGGGCATGAGGCCCCCAGGCAGAGCCATTTCTTGCCCCACCCTGGGCTGTAGCAGCAAAGCACTCCCTGGGTGGCCGGGCGGGGAGCGCGGGGAGCATTGCGTCCAGGGCTCCCCTGCTCCATCCCCCTCGGGTGCCAGAGGGCAGCTTTCCCCCCGCTTTTGGGCTTGTCAACACACATAAATTTGCTGAAGAGCCCCTCTGCCAGCAGGCAGGTGCTCCCAAGCCTCCTGGGGCTGTGCTGGGCACGTGCAGCATCCAGATCAGCTTTTCCAAAACGGGGTGAGGGACTCTCAGCGTCCCCATACCGTTGGATGGATCTGCTGATGCTTTGATCCAAACCCAGCTGCCCTGGGGGAGGCTCAGCCACGCAGATCCCCGCAGCCCCAGGCAGCTGAAGGGCAGGCGGAGGTCGCAGCTCCCGCCGGCACTGCCGTCTCCTCGTGTTGCAAACAGGCTGCAGAAAGCTGCTGCGTGGCCCCTGTCGTGGTGACAAACCAGAGCTAAGGCTCTGTCAACGTGACTGGAAATGAACACTTATTCAGAGGGAGTTTGGGGACACTGACCCAGTGGAGGGGGAAAACGTGGCCCAAAGCCCCTGCCTCGAGCAGCCCTCAGGAAGCCACAGCCCCCACCAGGGTTTCAGCTCAGCCGAGTCCTCCTCCCTCTGCCCCCGCCAAGGCTGGAAGCTGTCCTCGTGCAGGAGATGGGGGACAGCACAGCCTGACCCCCCCATCGCCCCTCTCCCAACCTGGAGACATGAAGGCTGCCTGCTGCCGGAGTCTCAGGATCTAATTTTAATTCCAGGGTGGCTTTGATAAGTGGGAAAAAGGCTTTGTGGACATCTCTGCCTCATAAAGCCTACCTGGGGTGAATACATCTTTACCTACCTAAATGCTGATCCTGTTTCAAGCAGCAAAGCTAATCTGTTCCCTTCCTAAGGGCATTATTTAGCCTGGATCCTGCCCAGCCCAGCACTTGCGCTTATCTGTGCCCACCCAAAGGGCTCCGTCGAGGGGAGCCTTTTGCTGCTTGCCGGCTCTCCCTTCTGCTGCGGAAATTTGGGAGTCAGGAGATGGTGATGCTCCTCTCGGGTTGCCTCGGGGCTCCTCCATGCTGCAGGCACTGCGCTTTCGAGGGGCAGCCCCATCCCCTCTCTTCCAGGCTGCGATGTCTGCGTCCCCTCCACAAGACAGGTCCATGTCAACTGGCCATCCTCTACAGGAAATCAGTTTTCGGGCTCAAAAAGGCAGTCACTATCCTCGAGCGGAGCATCCGGCCCCTCTCGGAGCCCATAATAGAGGTCATCCTCCTCCCCAGAGCCTTTGTGGGGGCAACCAGGGTGCTTTCTCCCTGCCGGGGACTCAGTTGGGGTGCAGCTGGAGCGTGTGGCAGATGGCAGGGGTGGTCGGCTCCATGGCACGGGGCTGCTGGGCACGGAGCCCTCCAGCGACGGTGTGTCCATATCCTCCAGGAGGGATGCCAGCGGTGCATCCCCTGGGGCTGGCTGGGGGGGGCTGCAGGAACAGAGAGGTCTGAGGGGCGTCAGGCAGACCAGGGATTACACCAAACACAGCTGAGCTGGAGCTGGGGTTTCCCCTGGAGCTGGTGGCTGCTGGGCTCAGCATTGCTCAGCCAGAGTCCCAGCATCACCAGTCCCCTTGCTGGGGTGCACTGGGAGGGCCCCATCTCAGCCCCCGGTGCCTGTCTTTGCAGGGACAACCAGCCTGCTGGGTTCCTTCTCCTGCCCATGGGACAAAGTAGCAGCTGCCCTCGCTCGCTGTGCCTGCATCCCAGGGAGAAAGCAGAGGGCCCTGTCCCAGCTGTAGCTGCATTTTGGCAGAGGGGGTGCCTGACTCCTATGCCCCAGGGCTTCACAGTGACCCTCATCGCCTGCAAAGAGCTTTTTGGATCCCCTGGACCAATGCCTGGGCATCCTACATGGCATCTGATTTGAGGGACACGTACTGACCATCTCATTTCTATCGAAGTCTGACCAGGAACTTGGGATTTATTCTGGTGAGGGGCATTGTTCATATTTATAAAATGAAATCAAAGCAAAATGCAAATCACAACCAAAGGCAGTCCAGATTTCCTCCTGATTTTACCCTCGTAAATAATTTGGTACTGAGAGACCCCATGGTCTGAGATGCTGTCTGGGCTCTGGTGGGGCTGGGGGGTCCCATGGCTGCGTGGGAGCAGCAAAGACCCCTCTACCTCCCCTTCCTCCCCTGACCCCGGAGGTCTGACCCCCACCCCCAGTTTCATCCCACATCCCGCTGGTGCCACCCCAACCCCGCAGGCCTCACGTACCAGCTGCCAGCCACCATTCCGATCCGAGGCACCAGCTCTGGAGGGGGGTCTCCAGCACCCCCCAGCTCCCGGTGGACCTCTGCTTTTGCCTGCACCGCTGTCTGGGAGCAGCTGCGGGGTCTGGGCTGGGCCATGGGTGGGAGCGGGGCTGAGCCCACCGCTGGCCTCTGGATCTGCTCATAAATTGGCAGGCTTTTCTTGTAGGTGCTGGTGGCCTCTTGGTTGGGGCAGGGTACAATCAAGCTGTGGGTGAAGGAGGAATGGGGTGCTGAGCAGGACCTGGACCCCCGCAGAGCCAGGAGATGCTCAGGGACACACACACAGGACACCACCAGGTGCTTTAGAGGTCACTACGCCCCCCCCACTGC